CGTGCTGCTCGTCTCCTGTGGCCTCTCCACCACCACAGCAGCACGCCAATGATCAGCAGCATCACAGCAGCCACAGCAATGCCGGCAATGACTCCCACAGAGAGACCGCCTCCCGACTGGGAGGGAGGCGCTTCGGGTGAGAGAGGGGGGCTGAAAGAGGAGGAGGAGAATGGGCCCGTTGTGTTGGGCGCTGTAGGTGGGGAGATGGACGCTGGAGAAGGGGGTGCTCGAGGTGGGGATCGGGGCGCTGGGGGTGGGGAGGGGGGTGCTGGAGGTGAGAGAGGGAGAGGGGGAATATGTGTAGGTAAGAAATATTATAATTAGTCTGTGATTATCCATAATGACATACGTACATGCGTATGTTTCTACTGACACAATATATTGTGCGGTTGCACATGAATTGGCAAGCACGCCAAAGATTTGTGACACAGAAGTTGTATGTGTCTTTGCCAAACATGTGCTGACATGATTGGTGTAAAGTAGAATAGTCACACAAAGATGTGTGTGTGTGTCGGGAGGGGGAGGTGGGGTGGTAGGGGGTTGGTTGGTGGGTGCGTGCATGCGTGCTTGTGGGTGAGCGTGCGTGCGTGCCTGTGTGTGTGTGTGTGTGTGTGTGTGTGTGTGTGTCTGTGTGTTCGCGTGCGTGCGTGCGTGCGTGCGTGCGTGTGTGTACGTGTGTGTGTGTGTGTGTGTCTGTGTGCGCACGCGCGCGTATGTGTGTGTGTGTCTGTGTCTGTCCGTGTCTGTTTTGTGTCTGTGTCTGTGTCTGTGTCTGTGTGTCTGTGTGTCTGTGTGTGTTTGTGTGTGTGTGTGTCTGTGTGTGTGTGTGTGTGTGTGTGTGTGTGTGTATCTGTCTGTGTGTCTGTCTGTGTGTGTCTGTGCGTCTGTGTATCTGTCTGTGTGACTGTGTGTGTGTGTCTGTGTGTCTGTGTGTCTGTGTCTGTGTCTGTGTCTGTGTCTGCGTGTGGGGGGGGGGAGTTTCTGTATGTGTGTGTGTGTGTGCGTCTGCGTACGTGCGTGTGTTTTTCCGTTTCTTTTTTACTCACGTGGTGCTGACTTGACGCAAGTAGTGCAGAAGGAGGGGCACTTGCTGCAAAAAGCGGTTTGAGAAGACTGCTGAACCACACATGAGGTGCTGTCACGTGGGCATGTGACTGGAGTGCCAGTCAGATTCCTGGACGTGTGGAAAGCAGGTAAAAAAAAATACAGTTTCAGAGCACTAACGAAAAAGGTTAGTGCTGCTGAGTCTTCAGAATAAACAGCAGAAAATTTGTACATGTGTGGTGCTCCTTGGAAGCGTCAGAAGATGCGCTCCACATGCTCGGTTTGGGGCACCTTGAGTATTTGAGGGAAGGCGGAACTGAGTATCTTACAATTCTGTGAGTTTGGCAAGTTTTCCCAGTGTCGGAGGTAGCTGTCCGGTCAGATTGGACCTTGAAGCTTTCCTGCATAGGAAGCATTGTTGAGCATACGCAGAGCCAAAGCATTGCTGCGCATAAGTAGACTTCTCTTAAAGCATTTTAGAGTGGACATAGAGTCGGACAAACGTTGTTGCAAAATGTGCCGGGTCGACCCCTCCCCGGGTCATGACCAACGTTGTTGCCATGACCAAGTACCACACCCGAATCAATTCTCTTAAGTAGACTTCTCTTACAAACGTTGTGGACATAGAGTCGGACCAAGTACCACACCCGAATCAATTCTCTTAAGTAGACTTCTCTTACAAACGTTGTGGACATAGAGTCGGACCAAGTACCACACCCGAATCAATTCTCTTAAGTAGACTTCTCTTACAAACGTTGTGGACATAGAGTCGGACCAAGTACCACACCCGAATCAATTCTCTTAAGTAGACTTCTCTTACAAACGTTGTGGACATAGAGTCGGACCAAGTACCACACCCGAATCAATTCTCTTAAGTAGAATTCTCTTACAAACGTTGTGGAGATAGAGTCGGACCAAGTACCACACCCGAATCAATTTGGGTCAAACCGGGTCGACCCCTCCGACCCGGTTCTACTTGGTGGAACCATAGCTTTGAGCTTAAGGTTTTAATTTCGACTCTATGTTGCCGAACCCAGTACGAGCGACTAGACATAAATAATGGGCCAACCCGTCCCGACCCGATCCAACTTTGCTCGAACCGAGCCGGGCGGAGGTTGGGTCCTTGATCAATGTTCTTGAAGTCAATGAGAATGTGTAACGTTTGAGTCGAGACATAACACATTCGGCAATGGCTTACTTTGTGACTGAAGTACAATGTTAATGCTTTCATGGATGGGGATAATGGCACTCCTTCTCCTGTACTTTGTGAAATAAGGAATAAATATAATTGTCACTAAATTAGCAAACAAAGGGGGAACTTACAATGTTGGAAGGAAGAGGAGAGCTGGCCAAAGCCTTGGCTACAGTGATTGGCCCCCATCATTAATTCCACCATTGATCAGGAATTCACAAACATTTATGGGGCCAATTACATTGGTCAAGTGAGGACCAAGGTTGTTTAGCCTACTCGTGAAGGCCAATACATCCCAAGGTTGAAATCAGCCCCTAACAAGGTAAACCCTAAGATAAAACAGGTTTTAAGTTTAACCCGCCTAACCTTTGCATTCCAGGAATATATGATAAGATATCCGTTAACACACTTATTTTGCTTGTTTTTGCTCAAGATATATCACAGCGGCATACATAGGTAGGACGAGAGATATAAAGAGTGAGGTCAATAAAGCAGAAGGTTCGACCATCTCAGCATGATTTCTTGGATCCGTGGTGGCTGGGTTGACCAGCTTACTGAGTTGACCAATGTGAGGTTGGGTTGGGGTGACCAACTCTTTGGGGGGTACAAAACGTTTACATTGACTGATTAGCAGTTTTGACCCTCCTTCAACAACCGTGGGCACGAGGTTGGGATATGCAGGCACTGAGGTTAAGGAGTCAGTCACCCCATCCACATTCACACCCAACACTTAGGGTACCCCCCACCGCCAGATATATACCCATCACTTAGGGTTACCCCGAGGCTACAGCCAACACTTGGTGTACCTCAAATGCACACCCAAAGCTTTGTGTATAGCTCAAAATTACACCCAACACTTGGTCTACACGTACTGGTTAGCCTGAAGAAGCAATAAGGTAACATGGTTTGCTTGATTTTCCATCCTGGAAAAATACAAAATATTTTCCAGTTCTCCTAAACACACTCTAGGCGGCACAGCTCACAGCTCAGGCCATCATGGCATGGCCGCATAGCACATATCGTAGCTGTATAGCGCATGTCATAGCCGCGCATAACACATGTGACAACCTGATAGCTCATGACATAGCCGCATAATGCATGTGATAGCCTCATAGCGAATGACATAGCCTCATATCGCATATCACAGCTTTAGTGCATGTCACAACCTCGTAGCTCATATCAAAGCCTTGAAACTCATGCCATAGCCTCAAAAATAAAACCACAGCCACAAATTTCTGCAGTTTTTCTTGCTGTGGTTCAGATCGCACTCATAGGGCAACGAGCAGAATGCACAATGGCTGTGCTTACGACTCTAAGCTGATTGCTTACAGGACCGTGATCTGATTGCTTAAGCTGTGGCTTACAGGACTGTGAGCTGCAGGAGGTTGCCAATGGACTCTGGGATGCTACCAGTCAGGTTGTTGGGAGCAAGATACCTGGTGAGGTTAGTGGGACAGCAGCAGGGAAGTTCTTACAAGAAAGGCGCTGTGAAAAATCCACCACAGGGTGGTGTGGGCGGGCGGGACGGAGGGTGGCAGCAGGGGAAGCACGGGGCAGGCTGTCAAGAGCAAGGTACCCGGTGATGTGAGGGTACAGCGACAGGGAATTTCAGGAAATTGAATGAGACCAATTATTACAAGAAAGTTGCTGTGACAAATCTATCACAGGAATATTGTTCTAGCAGGAGCATTAGAAACACAGGCTAAAAAATATTTACTTCATCACACATAAGCATACACACTAGACATGAGCACAAGGGCGAACACCTGTTCGGTTCGCCTCGAACACGTTCGAGGCGAACCGAACAGGTTTGTTTTTTTTGCTTAAATTGTTCGCCGAACAGTGTTCGATGTTCGCCCGAACACGTTCGTGTTCGGGCCGCTGCTGCAATTTGCCCCGCGACGAACACGAACGTGTTCGAGGTTCGCCCGAACATGCCTTCACAGGCGAACGGCGAACACGTGTTTTTGCTTAAAGTGTTCGCCGAACCGAAACACAGTAAAGAATAGTCTGTGTGACCAGTTCCATGTATTGAAATGGATTTTTACACGCTTGACTACTGGGAAGAGAAAGCAATTGCTATGAAATGATTGATCTGAGTAAAAAATGATACTAATTATACATAGAAAGAAGTCATGTGTGGAGATGTCCTCATGAGGCTCACAAAAAAAAAAAAAAAAAAAAAAAAAAAAAACCGTTCGTCCAATCAGAGGACTTACAACGCATTCAGGAATACAAGGTTGCCTATTTTTGCAGGTATGGAGCCAGTCAGTTTGTTTCCCCATAACACTCTGTAACGGGGATGTCAAAAGAGGAAGAATGGCCAAAACAAAGGTGCTTCCTTAGCATCAGTCCGACTGAGATGTCTCAAGATAGCGTTGCAAGAGGCCGAAGCTAGTCCCAGGTGTTTGGGAATCAAAATTGAGAATTCTTAGACGCCAGTCCCAGGTGTGCGTTGCATATAAATCACATTCCTTCTGTACCTCTTCTACTTTGCTTTGCATGGGTATACATTAGTAGGGACAATAGCTTTAGGTTAGGATGGCTGGGTAAGAGGAGTAGATGGAGGGTGAGACCTCCCAAGTGTTTAGATCACATAGGAGGCACCCAAGACCGAGCGCTGCTAAAGCACATTTGCAAATCCTGGAAGCATCTCAACATTGAGCCATTGAGCCGGCCACATCAACTTTTGAGGAATCTCAACAATCAACTCCGGGAGTGGTCAATAATGTTCCTCCTGCCTCTCAAGTGAAACCGAGGGGTAATGCACTCACAGGTTGTTCAGGTTTGTGAGCTTGACGAGGGACTCAGGAATGGTGCCGGTCAAGTTGTTGAAGCCAAGTTGTCTGTCTCACATGCAATGGATGGTGGTAGGAAAAGGACGGAAGGCGTGCATATGGTGAGACGAATGATTGTTGTGTATACACTATGGACAATATGGCGAGCGTGTGGGTCAACATATCCACACTTCACGTTTGCAAATTCTCAAAAGTGACACAACACAAGCATTAGACTAGACAATATGGGAAGGGGGCAACATTTCAGAAATCCAATACCGGTATTAAGACCGTGCATACATTAGAACTCTTTCCTGCATGTCACTCACCTGTGAATGCCTAACTTTAACTTCATCACTACTTTGTTTGGCAAAGATTTTCGGTGCAGTTTAGGGAATCCACTGGTGGTTAACTAACCACTAGGTCATATGGATCCACACTAACGCGGCAGCTAGGATGCATGCGTCACACCTTCTGCTTGGTTAACTAACCCTGGTTAACTAACCACTAGGTCGTATGGGTCCACACTAACGCGGCAGCTATCATGCATGCGTCAGGCCTTCTGCTTGGGCACAATTGCAGGAATACCAGCCACAATCCCTCTCAACCACATTTTCTAGCAACGCTTGCTAACTACTCTTAGAGAGCTTGCTACCTCTAGCCCCTACACAGGCCTAGTCCAGTTATACCTGTCTTGTTGCCAGTGGGCTGGCTTGGCCCTTTCTAGCGAATGTCAATCAAACGTCTCAGGATAAATAACGGAAAAAAAAAAAAACAAGTTTCACGCGATTTTCCAGAGTAGCTGTTTTGTTTCAATGTTGCGGCTGGTGAGCGATGAACCATTGGGTGGGTGGGGGGGTCTATGCAGGAATCATCTATGCAGGAGCAATCTACTTTTGAGGCGCCTCAAAAGGAGCCAGCCACCTATGCAGAAGCCATCTATGCAGGAGCCATCTATGCAGGAGCCATCTATGCAGGAGCCATCTATGCAGGAGCCATCTATGCAGGAGCCATTTATGCAGGAGCCATCTATGCAGGAGCCATTTATCCAGGAGCCATCTATGCAGGAGCCATTTATGCAGGAGCCATCTATGCAGGAGCCATTTATGCAGGAGCCATCTATGCAGGAGCCATTTCTGCAGGAGCCATCTACGCAGGAGCCATTTATGCAGGAGCCATTTATGCAGGAGCCATTTCTGCAGGAGCCATCTATGCAGGAGCCATTTATGCAGGAGCCATCTAGCCCGTCTTGTTGAGAAGCTCACAGAGTGGTCAGCTCTGCAAGGTTGCCTACTCCTGAAGGGATTGAGCCAGTGAATCTGTTTACAATGAGATTGCTGCAGTTTGGGGAAAAAAGGGTGCAATAAAGGGAGAGTAAAGGACAGATCCCAGTTGCGAGCATCAGTATGAAGCTTCAGTGAACAATGATGCGATACTTAAGCAGCATGCACACGTGCAAGGAGCAAAGAGCGGTGCAGCACAGTGCAGTGTGGCACAATAACATTCCAAAAACATGCTCGACTCAAACTTGAACAGCATGCTTGCTCATCACACCAATGCCAACCCTGCTCAGAATGAAGAGGAAGTCAAAACTGATTTTCAAACAAAACATGGTCATCTCAAGGCGTGCAGAGGTCCATGCTAAGATGAACCCCATACTTGCAGAAATGCCTTCTGAGGCGCCCAGGCATTGTTGAAATGCGCGTGCATGGTTACAGCGTGCTAAGTTTCGTGAGATTGAAGAGCGACTTACAGCGTGCTGAGTTTCGTGAGATTGAAGAGCGACTCAGGAATTGAGCCGGTCAAAAGGTTGAAGGCAAGGAGTCTGCAAAGGAAAGAAATGGAGGGCACACAAATGTCGAGAACAGAGACACCATCACGCACTGCACGTGGATGTGGAGTACGTTGTACATTAAAACCAGGGTGCACATTCAACGCGGTTCGGCTTGAGATGTTGGGAAGGGGGTTTGGAGAAAAACAGTGATTGGCTCACGAGGGGCGACAAAAAAATGATTCCGCTAGAGCTTCGGGCATTTCGTAGGTGGCGGGAGGGGGTGAAATGGCGGGAGTGGGTGAAACCGAATGGCGGGAGGGATGAAACAGATTGGCGGGAGGGGGGGGAAACGAAATTGCGGGGGAGGGGGGAAACAAAATTGCGGGGGAGGGGGGAAACGAATTTCGACGGGGAGGGGGAAATGAAATTGCGGGGGCGTGGGGAAACGAAATTGCGGGGGAGGGGGGAAACGAATTTCGACTTGAAGGGGTTGAAAGCACACCTCGTAACCCACTCAGTCAAGGGATAACCTTTGATGCACATTCAGCTGAATGTGCACCCCGGTTTTAAGTATGTCCCAATGGGTAGCTCCTCGCCTCTAGTCCAAGAGATTGAGAGTTCAATTCCCAGCATCTGCACTTCCCCCTTTCACATGATGCTCAACTCGACATGTCCATACTCCACTCCACCACACTCATCCACAATGAAATGTGGTCACAGTTGGCATTGCCCCCTGTCCACTCATCCCATGCTCACCTTGCCGGCTCCTATGGTGTGCCATAGGCTGCCATGGAGGCTGCTGTTACAGCTTGGCCCACATGTGCAACATAAGGCCTCACTTGCCAACTTAGCAAGGTTGGCTAGCCTTGCCCTCAACTTTGAGGTGTTGCAGCTAGCCTCAAGAGAGCCATATATATATGATTCACCACTTCCTTAGATCTATCGTTGGACAAGGACAGGGCTTGTGCCATCTCCCTACTAGTTTATTCTTCGCATTGTGCCCTGAAGTTCATCAATCCATTTTCTACAGAGTGTAAGACAGGAATTTGCTGGTGAGTTTGGCATCGCAAAGTACAGTTGGCTGTAAATAATCTGTCCTGTCAATTTATGGCGGGGTGACACGGCTGCATGCATTCATGGCAGGGTCGGCATGGCTGCATGCTTTCATGGCAAAGCACGTCTTGAGGATTCAAGCCATCCCATCACGGATGCTCATGTGAAGCTTCAAGATACAAAACAACCAAGTGGTGAGATATGTCGTGAAGTCTTCCTCTCTTCCTGAACTCCTCTTGTCAGTTACTTGCCCATTTTTTCTGCTGCCTAGGCTTTCAACTGAACTTTCTTCTTCCTGACATACGTGATCACTTCACCTTCTTCCCCTTCCTTCTAAGGCTGCCCACACGAATGCAGCCTTCCTTGTTTTAGCAAAAAACAGTGAGCACGAGCCTCCTACCCGCTTACATCCTCCTCCTAGCCTACTCCTGTCATCCTGCTAGCCTAGTGCCCAGCGACAAGTCAGCCAAGCTGCTCGTTCTAGTCCCTAGGTGCTAGCTGGGCTCCCCACTGCTTAGTTGCGGAAGACGCTCGACGCGTCTTGCGTCTAGCGTCTAGACGCTAGACGCAAGACGCACTTTTAGACGCAAGACGCTTGGGCAAGTTATTTTCGGGCAGCCCAAACCGCTTGGTATCTAGAAAACCCAACCTCTATGGCTAACCACCAAGAGGTTGGGAAGCACAAATCCCTCATTTGTGCTCCCCTACCTTCATTTCTTCCAAATCTCTTTCGAAAACCCTTAGGGTTTAGCTACTTCCACCGCGCAACCATGTCTTCTAGTATCCATTGTGACATAGGTGCATGTCCCCCACCCTCCCCATGCCCTGCCCGAACATATTTTTTAGGCCTGCCCGGGTTTTCGTCTAATACTGCGTCTAATCTACACTGTCTAGCGTCTAGCGTCTTAGACGCTGCGTCTAGACGGACGCGTCTAAGACGCTAGACGCGTCTTCCGCAACTAAGCCCCACTGGTCCATTTGCCATGCACCGCCTTCCAGCCTGGCCGCACAGAATCTTGAATTCAATGTGCGGATTGGCTCCCACCCACCTCTTCGATCTTCCCTCAATAACTCGGCTCAAAAGCGATTTATTTTACAGTAAATTGAAACCGAAAAGGAATTCAGCACAAACAAAAGAAACAGTAACACAGCCTCCAACTTGGTGTCAGTAGCACGACAGATATAGTTTCCCCGTCATGCCCAGAGGACATTGCAGCTAGTCTGAACAAATGTGTGTCCGTCCGTGTGCATGCATGTGTGTGGTGTGCGTGTGTGCGTGCGGGTGGGGAGGGTAGACATGAGCACAAGGGCGAACACCTGTTCGGTTCGCCTCGAACGTGTTTTTTTCGCTTAAATTGTTCGCCGAACAGTGTTCGATGTTCGCCCGAACACGTTCGTGTTCGGGCCGCTGCTGCAATTTGCCCCGCGACGAACACGAACGTGTTCGAGGTTCGCCCGAACATGCCTTCATAGGCGAACGGCGAACACGTGTTTTTGCTTAAAGTGTTCGCCGAACCGAACACTGTTCGGTTCGGCAAACGGATGTGTTCGTCTAGGGGCGAACACGAACATGTTCGTGTTCGCCCCTTGCTCATCCCTAGGGGAGGGCATGTGAACCAGAGGGATAGTGCGGTTTAGGGATGAGCAAAAGGCGAACATGAATATATTCATGTCACCTTGCCTTGGACATTCGTGTTTGGCGAGCCGAACATGTTTGTGTTCAGCCGAACACAAACCGGTGAAGGAGGTGTTCGGTGTTTGCCAAAAACCAAGCACGAACATGTTTGGGCCGAAGATGTTTATGTTCGCCTGTAGGCAGCCTTCATTATAGTCACAGGATTTAGAGGTGGTGGATTTCGGCGTCCGGGGCTGTGTGGGTATTCCTGGTGGAGTTTGGCTATAAGTGTTCGAGGCGAACCGACCACGAACATGTTCGAGGCGAACTGAACAGGTGTTCGCCCGTGTGCTCATGTCTAGTAGGGTTGCTGTGAGCTAGGGATGAGCAGAGGGCGAACTCGAACATGTTCGAGTTCGCCCCCTGTCGAACATGTGCTTTTGCCAAACCGAACAGTGTTCGGTTCGGCGAACTATTTGGCCGAAAATATGTGTTCGCCGTTCGCCCTAGGAGGCGAACGATTTTTTTCAGCGGGCGAACACGAACATGTTCGTGTTCGCCTAGGGGAAAATTCACTATAGTCACACATGTCTGAAAACAGTTTTCAAGGTTCAGGATGATAGCAAAATGTGTGCAGGGTGTATATGTGTGCATGCAACGAACCCAATAGTACAACATCAAATACTGTGAAGGGAAATGTCAAAGTCTAACAAATTCCTACACTAAGGCGCCACTGCACTGCTACTACCAACAACAGCATCCTCTCCACCAGCTGTGTCGTCAGCCTCCACACCCTCCTCCTCCTCCTCCTCGTCATCTTCCTCTGCTCCCTCGCCCTCAATGGCGAACTCTGGTGGTGCGACGCCTCTCGGTCGGCAACCCTCGCCTATCCTCTGGCCAGGGTGTGAACTGTACCATGATCTGAGAATCATGACAGCTCGCGTCCTCTGAGAGGCCAGGCGGTGCCGATTCCAGGAAATGAGGTTGCGACCAAGGGAGAACACCCGCTCACTCGAAGCGGACGTGGCAGGGATGGCGAGATAATCCCGGGCCATGCGCCTCAGCGTCTGCATGTTGGTGGCACTGCGCCAGTACTCTAGCGCTGTCACGTCGCACCGCACCCTCTCGGACAAGTACCTGCTAACCTCGTCGTCCTGCACCATCCCACCCGCCCCCGCATCCTGGCTCGCCGACAGACGCGCCGCAAGTCGTCGGCGACTAGGGAGAAACTGCGCGTCATCGTCGTCCTCCTCCTCCGCAACGGGGGCAAGTGGGGTCGGTCGTGGAGTAAGCTCTGCAGCCCGGGCCTGGTACTCGGCCACGCGGTCGCGCACCAGCTTGATCACCTCGCCAGACGCCGGACGCGGCCTCACCCTCCTGTCGGTCTCGGGATGCAGCTTCTCCCAGTGCGTGTCGTCGAACCACGCCGCCTTCATGGATGGGTCCAAGAAGGTGGCGATCCAGTACTCGTTGTTGGTGATGTACGCGTACTTCTTCAAGTGGCTCAGCGTCGCCACGATCATCGGCTGCAGCGTCGGAGATGGCCCCTTGGCAAGGCGCGACTCCATGGCGTCGATCAGGCCGTTGTAGTACGGCACCACCATCGACACAGTCGGGTACGCCGCCCCCTCTGCTGCCTTGGAGACCTTGGCGAAGGGGCTTAGGAATGTCTTCACCGCCTGCAGGGTCTCCCAGTCTGCGTCAGTCAGGCACAGACTCTCCACCTTCTTCTTGTCGGTCTTCGACAGGCCCTTTCGGGTAGAGGGAATGGTTTGGGGGGAGGTATGAGGGAAACTGTGATTATGGAGGAGGATTTTGGCATCCGGCCGGCAACATACAAGCTTGACCAACAATATTGTGTAGACGTGCTAACACACCACACCATGACATAACCACACACTACAACAACCCACACAAAACACATGTGTTACCTGTGTCTGGGCGAAGAAGACAGTGATGGGGTTCTGCAGAACAGCCGCATGCTCGACCATGTCGTGGGTCGACCCCCAGCGCGTAGGACTGTCCTGCACCAGCTTCAACGTTGGCTTCGGCGTGGCGGGGTTGGTCTGCGAGTTCAAGGTCCGCTGTAGGCCCAAGAAAGACCCCGAGCGCTGTGGAGAGAAGCCAATCCACGACGCCATCTCTCTCAGTATCTTCAACAACTTCCGTATGGAATCCACAGCCAGTGCTGCCTGCACTGCAAGGTTTATCACGTGTGCCAAGCACCTGCGCACGGAACATAACATTAGGGAAAGAAAAAAGGGGAAGTTGGAGGACACATGGTTAGAGCGAGCCACAAAAACCAAACCAGACCCCTCACAACCTACAACTCGAACCGCACCGGCCCACCCCTCCATAGAACTACAAATTGTCCATGTTGGAATGACACACCCACAAAGGCAAACACACGCCCACATTCCCGCACGCCCAACCCACACACACTCCCACACTCACCGGAAGTGCATGCGCGAGCTGAAGAAGCACTGACCACCACCCTCCTCCGACATCCGCCTGAAGGCGGCAATGTTGCTAGAGGCGTTGTCTGTCATGAAACCAAGACAACGCCCCTCCAACCCCCACTGCATAACCGTCTCCTCAACCACCTGCGCCATCTCCCTGCCCCCATGCCGCCCGAGCATCTCACGGAACTCAAGCACCATTGTGCGTAGCTGGAAGTTCTCGTCTATCCAGTGACCCGTCACCACTAGCCATGCCTTGTTGTTGGGTGCCGTCCACATGTCGATGGTGATCGACACCTTGCACCCCAGCCCCCCCTCCTTAGCCAACATCTCCGCAATGGCGGACTAGAGAGCCGCTGTTGCATAGACCACGGTGTCGCGGGATACCGTCCAGCGCGAGGGGATGAAGTTCTTCTGTGCGCAGTTGCGGTTTAGCAGGATCAATAGCTCCCGAAACTGGAGGAGGGTAGAGTAGAGACAACGAGGGAGAGGGTTTTCAACGTCAAGGGGATGGTTTTGAGACAAAGTGGCACACGATTACAATAGAAGCATCAAACAGTCAACCACATACTGCCAAATCCCCTTCATACAGCAGGCATGGGACACTCACGGCCTCGGACTCGACGATGCGGAAGGGGAGGTCGCAGGTGACCACCAGCTTGGCGATCGCCTGCCGTAGCTCCTCCGTGGACAGCTTGGTTGTCATGAACCGCTCCATCCCGCCTGACCCCGGAGCTCCACCGGACGCCGTCCCTTTCTTCTTTGCGAGATGCGGCCAAGACTTGGCATGCGGCCACCCATCGACGTAGCCATCCGGCACACCCTTGTAGCCCCCACGAGGAAACGTCTCCCCAGGCAAGTGAACGGACGGAGTGTGGTAACGGTGATGCCACACGTGCATGTGCGCTGTGTGGTAGCTCTCAAAGTGCCGCTCGCCGGGTGTTGTTGTGGATTGCTTCCACGAAATCCTGTCAGTGCAAATCTTGCACTGACGCTTCTCGTCTGCCCCTTTAGGCCCGAACATCTGTACTTGCCACCCCGGTTTTTTATTACCCTTGCCAGTCCCCTTACTACTCTCGGACCCTCCGTCCTCGTCTAGGAACTCCGGAGCGACCACACCCTCGCCCAAGGGCTTCCCAGTGAATGTGCAGGGATATGCTCGCTCCCTCAACTTGCTCGCCCTCTTCCTCCGCTTCGGCATCCTAATGGATGCCCGCTTTCTCCCCACCTTAACCCCCACGCTCCCTCCTCCTTCAGCCACATGCTGTGAGGCCGCCTCTGTCGCCGCCCCTTCACCACCCTCTCCCACCCCCTCCTCCACCTCCTCTGGCTCCAACCCATCCATCTCAAGGTCCTCCTCATCATCCCCCCCTTTCCCACCGCCATGCGTCTCGGGATCCCACCCGGCCTCACTGTCATCCCCGCTCCCCTCATCGTCCTCATCCTCCTCGCCCTCACCCTCCTCCTCCTCATCCTCCTCCCCACTGCCACTCTCCGGCTGCGTCTGCCCAGAAGGAGGGGGTCGCGGGCCTGAGTAACGGAACGAGTGACGGGACGCCGGACCAGCTACGGAAAGAAACCCCCCGACGAAACAAGCGCCGGCTCCTGCAAGTCCATCCCCTACTCGCCCCTGCATAGGTCGTGGTGGAGAACCTGGTGTACCGCCCTGAGCGCTGCCTGCACCTCGTTCTACAGATCCATGTTGGCTGGAAGCCATAAATCCGCCCTCGGCCTTAAAACCCTAAAACCCCAAACGAACGGTCGCAAGCCACGGATAGCACGGTCCTAATTGAACTCCTAGTTACGTGTGGCACGGAGAAATGCCCGCCCCTACAACTAGAGAATTGACCTCTACGAAATTGATCCCGTAGCTACTACGAACTAACCCCTCGCGATTTCTGAAATTACCCCTCACTACTACGAACTACTTAGTTGAAATGTTCGTGTACTAGTTAGAGAACGGTGTGTGGTGGCTCTTAAAGGGATGAAGCCTATGGTGGTTGAGGGAGGGAGGGCTAACCAACAAAGACGTTTTGAGTTTGAGCTCAAAAAATGAGCTCAAACTCAAATTGGCCGCGACCTAAATTTGGTCGCGGCCAATTTTGACGCGAACACTTTGGTGTTCGCGTCAAGCCCAAAACGAACACGAACATGTTCGTGTTCGTCCACACTCCGCGAAATGGAGGTGGCGAACGGCGAACATGTTCGCCTCGAACTATTTTTTTCTAAACATGTTCGAGGCGAACCGAACAGGTGTTCGAGATCTTGCTCATGTCTACTGTGAGCCTTAGGAGCAATAAAAACGGCAGGTGCCCTGTTTAGTCCAAGTCAAGAGGTTCACAACAAGTCAAGAGACTCACAGATCTCTAAGATTTGAAAGTTTGCCTAGTGAGGCTGGTATCGAGCCAGTCAGGTTGTTCATATGTAGGTATCTGCTTTCCATGGGAGAAACGTGTGATGAGGGGAGTAGACAGTAGTGGACACCATCACAGCAAACTTAAGGGGCCACAGTGAATGGGTGAAGGAGAGGCATGTGAGGGCGTCAGTCGGTGGTGGCACTTCTTGATCACAGAGGGGCGCGTACCGTGCGGAGCACTCAAGAAGACTTGCAAGTTGGAGATGACTTACTTACAAGGGTGCAAGATTAAGCATGTGGCGTGGATGTGATGCAGGTCCCATGGCATGTGGTGTGGATGTCATGTCACATGGCATGTGGTGATGTTGTAATGCAGGTCGTGTCCCATGTGGTGCGGATGTGATATGGTTCACATGTCAACCCAAATACAAGCAGCGTCACTCACAAGCGGGAAAGCTTTGGGAGGTTCCCAAGAAATCCAGGAATGGTGCCTGTCAAGTCGTTGTAGCCAAGGTTTCTGGTGGCCGAGAGAGATGAGTGTCATGCAAGCGGGGAGTGCATAGGCCATGCATAAGGCATGAACACACACGCATGCACAGGGCATGCATGCACTAGCTAGCCACTAGGCATGCACGGGCATCAAAAGGCGTGCATAAGGCATGCCTACATGCACAACAAGAGAAGAACGGTGAAATTGTGTTTCATGGTCGCCCATACTCTCTCATGGTCGCTCATGGTCGCTCTAGGTGGTTAAGCTTCATTGCCTCCTCACTCGCTCAGAAACAATTGCACCGTGCAACAAGGCTATGGCTGTGGCAGTGCAGGATATGACAAGTAGAGAGATTCAAGATGAATTCCAGTAGGGTTCTAAGGTCAACTAGACAGATGAGTGTACTGGAAACATCGTCACGGAAGGACAAGGGTTTGCATTGCTGGTGGGGTGCTGTTGAGGAGAATGAGGAGAACGCAAAGGGGTGTGGAATAATGTCACATCATATCACATCACATGAAAACACATCACATCACATCACATCTCATCACATCACATCACATCACTTGAAAGCACATCACATCACATCACATCACATCACATCACATCACATCACATCACATCACATCACATCACATCACATCACATCACATCACATCACATGACAACACATCACATCACATCACATCACATCACATCATATCACATCACATGACAACACATCAAATCGCATCACATCACAACACATCACATCACATCACATCACATCACATCACATGACAACACATCGCATCGCATCACATCACAACACATCACATCAAATCACATCACATCACATCACATCATATCACATCACATCACAACCCATCGCATCACATTGCATCACATTACATCACATCATCACATCACATTCCATCGCATCGGGTCGCGTCATGTCACGTCACATCACATCGCATCCTGTTTCATCACATTGCATCACATCGGACCCCATCCCAACACATGCCATCACATCCCCTCACATCACATCACAGAACAAAACATAATCACATCACATGACGAACTCCAATAGTGGGAGAATAATCAATATTATACCAATATGACGGGCGAGGGAGGCAGGCACCATAAAGGGAGTGAGAGGTTAAAATGTGAGCCTAAGGAATATAGTAACACTCACAAGTTGGTCAAAAGCACAAGGTTGGATAACGTTGCTGGTATGGAGCCCGTCAGATTGTTTTCAAGCAACCACCTGCATCTCGGAAGTGGGGTGCAAAACGGAAGTAAAGGACCAGAGAGGGGTTTGTGAGTATGAACGACACCTCCTACGACCATACTGAAGCAGCATTCGTAGCAGCAAAGGAGCAGGGAGGGACTCGGTGCCTGGAAGGAGAAATGCCCACAGGCAGGCAGTCCTTTCAGCAGAATGCTCAGTCCTACATACTTGCTTCTCGATATAGAACCAAACCAAGATAAAGGTTTTGAAAATGGGACACGAAGCAAAGTCTGGACACCGTGTGTGTGCTTCTAACTTGACCTATACAGCTATGTAGTATGTACCCTAAAAAACAAGTTACTTATCTCAAAACATTACACAATACAGTACAGCACTCAGCAGAACAGTACAGCACTCAGCAGTACAGTACAGCACTCGGCAGAACAGTACAGCACTCAGCGTATGTCGAGCTAAGAGCACAGTTCAATCAAGCTTCAAAGCATAGACAGCTTGATGCAAGTTGGGCTGAAGGCTTAGTGCATCATGCATGGATGCTGCCGTCAAGAAGCATGCGTGCTCTGGCTGGGGTTCACATGTCGCACAAAGGAGGAACAGCACTAACAGGTAATCGAGGCTTATGAGATTGCCGATGGATGCAGGGATGGTGCCAGATAAGCTGTTGTAACAAAGTTCCCTGATGAGCAAATGAGCACAGGCGAAGGGCAAGCATGGATGGCAAATGAAGAAATGAGGGCAATAATAGATATCAAATGAAAACGGAGGGCATGCATACAGAGGAAATTGAGCGACTCAACACTTGAGGGGCACGCATTCATAGTGGGAAGTGATTTCAGACTTAATCTGGACTTGCTCGGCTTGGCTCCGCTCTCCGCGGCTTGTGTAAGAGACGAGCGTGCACCAACTCAAGCCAAGTGGTACGTTTGGTTGGCACCAGCTCAGCTTAACACGGTGTGATACTCAGAGGTAGAATCGGTGGTACATTTACTTTTTATAAGTAAGTGTGGAACCGACTTTCTCGTGCCCTCGGAGAGTTCGTTCTATATTTGATGTTTTCGCAAGCCGTGTTACGACAAAAGAAAGTGTTAGAATAAAAGAGATGAGCCTATATTACGAGGTACGCATAGCCTGTCGGTTTGAGAAACTCACAAGTCGGTCAGCTTTGGAAGGTTGCCAATAGTGGTTGGTATCGGGCCAGTCAGGCTAGTGTTCCATAAATATCTGCACTCAAGAAAGGAAGGAGGGTTGTAAGGAGAGACGAAAGGCCAACTTACGAGCTTTTACGACCGTGGCCATCAAAGTGAAACCTCCTATGAAACAATAAGGCTCACAAGCTCAAAATCTCTGAAGCAATCTCTAAACCCGAAACCCGTCTGTTTGTGGCACTCCAGAAACAGACACCCAAGAAGGAGGAGCACTGAGAAGGTGTGATGTGAGTGCTTCACATGTCCACTTGAGAATGCCTCACATGCCCACCCATGGCCACCTATGGCCACCTATGGCCACCCATGGCCACCCATGTCCACCCATGTCCACCCATGTCCACCCATGGCCACCCATGGCCACCCATGTCAACCCAGGGAGGAGCAGCACTCACAATGAGGCAAGGCTTTGGAGGTTGCTGATGGAGTCGGGGATCGGGCCGTTTAGTTTCACATCGGAAATAATTCTGATGATCGGAGAGTGAAACGGGCAACAGAAATGAAGAGAGATATGCTACATGCGTTCATGTTACATGCATGTGCTGCATGCATTCATGTGACATCCGTGGTCTGAATGCGTGCATGTTAAAAAGGCGATCTGAAGAAGGGCAGGAAATTGGCTTAGCGGGCTGGTAGTTTTCAGTATCTTTGAATAGCACAGACATCGGCTTAGCGGGCTGCTGAAGGGTTTAACTGCAACATGGGAAGGGAGAGTACCAAGGGAAGGGGAGAAAGGAGATAGAGGTTGAGGGAACAGGGAAACAGAGGAAGGCAGTGAGAGGTAGGGGCTGGAGAGGGGGGAAGAAGTGGGGGTGAGTGGACGGGGAAAAGGGGGAGGGTGTGGGAGAGTGGACAGGGGAGAAAGGCAAGGAAGGGGTTGGGGTTGTTGGGGTGGGGAGTGGGCGGGGGGGGAGGGGGAGGGGGCGAGAGAGGGGGGGGGGGGGGGGAGGGGGGTGGTGGGGAAAGGGAAAGGAGTGAAAGGCTGAAAGGAGCGACGGGGGGAAGGGGGGAATGGCTGAAGGAGCGACAGTAGACATGAGCAGCGAGTGGAGCCGCTGCTCGCCTCGAGCTTCTTCACGCCTTGAGCCATGGCATGCTAGCGAGTTGATGCTATTTTTCCATTCACTTGGGGGCAGGGAGGCAGCTAGCGAGTTGATGCTATTTTTCAGAAAGAGGGAGGAAAGGGGGGAGGATCGAGGGGGCGGAGAGGCGAGAAGAATCCGTCTGACTCAAATGGTTCGGGGTCTAGGGTTTGAGGTTAAGAGATTTTCCATGCGTCGAAGTCCACCTGTGTCCACATACTTGAGTCACACTTACGAACGTCTATTCACATGCTTATATATTCTCACTCACAAAGGTCAACTCACATGTCAAACATCAAGGTCCACTGCCATGCTTTTATCATGTCACAAAGGTCTCATATCCTGTTATCACCTCACTGAGAGAGGTCCCCTCACATGTCAAACATCAATGCCATGCCTTCATCTCACTCACGGAGGTCTACTCACATCTCTGTGATCATGCCCTGGGAGTCGCACGTGACGGTGCTCGCATTGTCGCAGTCGCCACCAACCACCCAGCCGTCAAACGTGGGGCGGCCCCACGCCTTTTGAAAATCCAGCAGGACTTGCGCTGGCGGCAAGGCGACGGAAGGAGGGGGAGTGGAAAGGAGGAGGGAAGGGCGAGGCGTGGCAGAGAGGAGAGAAAAAGGGGCGGGGCAGAGGTGGGGCGGAACGTGACAGCGAGGAGAGAAAGAGGGCCGTGACAGAGAGGAGGGAAGCGAGTGGAACAAGCGGAAACTCAGACAATGGTCCAAAGCACCGCTCCCATCACATCCCTCCCACCTTCACATTCCTCTCACAGCATATCCATCCCATCTCATCACATTCCCTCCCACCTCATCACATTCTCCACATGCTCTTCCGCCAGATTCTCAATCATTGCGCTCTCCTCCCCCCATCCCCTCCCCTCTCTCCCCCTCCTCTCTCCTTCCCTCCTCTCCCCTCCTCTCCCCTCCCCCTCCTCTCCCCTCCCCCTCCACTCATGTATCCTTTTCTCTCTGCTTCTCTCCTAATCGAATGCACATTATCTCAAATATGATGCTACCGGGGATCATCGCTTGAGTGTGGGGCGCGTGACGCCGCCAGAAGGCGCTTGAATGTTTTTCAGCACGCGCGCACGTCACGCTTGGCGCCGCATTGGCTCACGAACATCGGATGATGATTATCCAATCATTGCGAGCGGCACGCACCCTGTGACTTGGCAAAAGGAACGCATTCGATGCGTGAGACCGCGTGACACGTCAGCAGCAGCAGCGTGCCGACCAGAAGGGCTGCTGAGGGCTTCATCACGTCGCGATGGTCGCGACAAGCCCGGCAAACTCTCTATATATAACTTCTAATTATCAGCGCGTCTAAAAAATCGTATCATTTTACTTCGCGGTAAATAGCAGCTGAAGAAAGGACAGGAGGGGAAGGCAGGGTGTCAGGAAAAAATGCATATGGCTGAGGGCGCGTAAACTTTTCCGTCCGGGTCCAAAGTCTGGACAGGGCCTCGAAACCGTCAGGACCGCATTTGTGGAACTCTTTTTAGTTATTGAATTACAAAACTTAAGCGACACGTAACACAAGTGGTGCGAAACGATATAGTTGATCGTTCGCCAATGAAAGCTAAGACATGACGGACAGTCCGACATGCCATTTGGACGGTGTCAGCCCCGTTCGTCCGGACCATTTTTTACGGAAGAGTGTCAGATTTGGTCCGGACGGTGGCGACGTCACGTTGGGGCTGGCGAGGTCCCTCACGAACTGTGACGAAGAACGTAAGTTACAGAATTCCGGACGGGTCTCCGTCCGGACAGTAGTTATCCCCCTCAGTTGGATCTGCTGGTGGGCTGTCCCTGAAAGGAGTGGTTCAATAATATCGGCCAACATCATTGATACTCATTTTATGCACTTCGATTTCACGTCGCTGATTGGTTCTCACTTTTCAATCACACTTTTCACGCTAATAACACCTCCAAAATGTGACGGAAACAGGACGTGATTAACGAACTTAAATATGAACAATTGTGTCGAGGTGCTACCCAACAATATAGAGAAAAATCATTGAATATTCAACCCTTTACAAAATAGTTTTGTATCGAGCGCAAATTCTGTAAAGATTAAATAAAAACCCTATTGGGAAAAAGGATGAAAACTGGAAGCGTCAACCCTGAACACCATGCGACAAGATGTTTAGGGTTGTTGCGATCTTGACTAGATGTCTTTCCGTAGGGGGGTTTATTTTTAATTTCCAGCGGACAGTAATCTTGACGACTTCCCGTATTAATGGCTAATATTCCCTACTTTTTTCCAGCTTTTCCAAGTTTTTTAGTACCTTTTCCTGTTTTGTTGGGTTTGCGTTTGAGGTGTTGGTGGCGACTTTGTGTCTGGATGGTACTTATAACAAACTACTATAATGAGAAATTGTTGGTTGATTACATTTGCAAACCGCTACTGGCGTAATTAAGTATCAATGATATTGGCCGCAATAATATGGAAGGCAGTCGCAATTTGTGGGTAGGAGTTGAACGGATGGCATGTGTTGAGGGATTTGGGGGGCATCCCATGCCATGCCTGGATGAAAATGGATGAACGAGAGTTTTGGGACAGCACACAGCTGGCACCGAACCCGTGAGGGAAGGCAGCGCCGCAGAGGGAAATCTTGTGGGGGACAGGGCTCAGGAATCAGGGCGGTTTACCATTTTATCCTTGTTTTCAGAGCGACTTTCTCGTATCACCTTGCATAAGCAGGCATTGACGGTAATACAGCCCTACCATGGCTTGTGTTGAATATAGTAGGTCTCTGTGATTTCATGTTTCTGCGTAATAGCATAGCCTCTTTCAAGACGCAACATATATTGGGGGGGGAATTTAATTCGCTGGGCACCCTGCGGTGGCAGGGTGAAAGTTGTCCAAAACTCTTTTCAAGCAGGATGTCCCAAAACACATCGAGAGGCTTGAGAGTAGGCAGGCAGGCACCCCCCCTGAATTCAGCTTCACATAAGCAGCCAATGAGAGTTGATGGCGGGTTCAAGCAGGCAACAAGTGAGGGGAGGAATGAACTTTTGAGATTGGCTGAGGTGGTGGATGATGTGCTGGATCACCAAACTGATGGACATCTCGGTTTCGGTCTACCCAATGGGATGGCAACAAAATCCATGCCACGTCAAACTTCTGATTCTGTTCGCACCATTCCGCCAAATAAAATACCGCGTTAAGACGCTAAGCGCTGTGATTCGAAAGCGAGCGTATACACTTGAGGTCCCTTTCACGCCCCTTTTTGAAACACCGCTTTGCTCGTCAATTGTGTCAAGGTTAGGTATACTTTAGCTAGCCACAATCTCAGGAACATGGCGACTCTCTACTTCCAGAATCCATCTTCGCTATAGACGGTTGTTTTTAGAATCGTCTAAACCATTTGTCAGTGACACGGTTTTTTGTTTTCCTCTCTTGACCTCATAATTTTGGTGTTTTATTTTCCCCATCGGAAAAAACACGGTCGACAGAAGTTACATGAATCCTGCAGCAAAGCAGCAATGGCGTACCCTTTCTGTCACGTGCTTGGGAGAGGGTGGAAGAGTTGCTTTGCGGTAGGTTTGAGTTCGACCTCAATCCGACGGAAAATCGTGCGACAAATCGCGGCCGCACATCTGCAGATGACTGAAAGCAACTTTGTTGCAACTCTGATTGTGAAAGCAAATCGAGGCCGCACATCGCGATGGTGCGATTGTGGTTCACGGTAGCTTTGGTTTTGTGTTGTTTCATCGTGTCCAACGTGGCCTGTTCAGATTCGATGGCCAAAACTTGATTGAACCAATCGCGCAATCTTAAAGTGCCGAATTTAAAGGTATTGATTTTGCTAACCACCTTTTTCCGATATTTATTTAGTGCCTAAGATTGATAGCCTGGAAATTAGTAACCAGCCTGTATGACCGTCAACATGGTAACATCCATTGGTTTCACGTAACGGGCGTTACACTGTTTCAAAAGTTACTATGTTAATAACACGGTTATATATTCACCAATATATTTTACACTATTTATGTATCTCTTTTGGTTTACATTATAATTATATTATTGCATATAATTATTACTATAAATATCAATAACTGCAAATCCAATTAACGGGCGTCAAAACCTACACACATACTTATTGCCAAATCTACCAATCCTCCACTCCATCATTGCTAATAAACACGCACGATTGCCCGCCGGCAAATTTCCACGCGTTGTGGGTAGCGTCCCACCTCTCAGCGTTCCTGCACGCAATGCAGGCTCGAACCCAATCCAGGACTTTGATGTAATACCCATCAACAGCGGCTCGGTTGTCCTTGTAGCTCGGCTGCATACAAGTCTCGTTGATCTTCGTCTCGACCTGCATTTCAAGAGCAAACGCGCTGCATTAGCGTTACTATTGATAAGAACACAGGGCGTGCGAAATGGCATGAATGAACTCACCCCGCAGAGCCAGAAAGCAATGTGCTTGAGGAGGAGCACGATCGTGCTGTGCCCGTCACGGCTGAACGAGGCGATGATGCCTCGAACAAACTCATCGCCTGCGAACGGAATGCCTTGCTTGTTCATGTGCCATGTCAACAGCGTGAACGACCCGGTGACTGTTGTAAGAGGTGCACGGGATGGGGATGAGAGGTTTAGGAGGGGGTAGTGTTGGGGTCGGGAGGGGGGGGAGTGGAGAACGTTAGGTTGAGTTGGGTACAGGAAGGGCATTAAGAAAGGATATGGCAGATGCATTTCTGAGGATTAGGGGGGAAGAGGAGATGTCAGTGTCACGATGGACTGATGTTCTATGCCGTGCCTTGCAGTGGCTCTGCCAGGCAGAGAGTAAGGCAGGGGAGAGACGGAGATGGGGGGAGAGGAGCTGGTTAGGGGCTGCCGTGCCTTGCAGTGGCTCTGCCAGGCAGAGAGTAAGGCGGGGGAGAGACGGAGATGGGGGGAGAGGAGCTGGTTAGGGGCTGCCGTGCCTTGCAGTGGCTCTGCCAGGCAGAGAGAAAGGCAGGGGCGAGACGGAGATGGGGGGAGAGGAGCTGGTTAGGGGCTGCCGTGCCTTGCAGTGGCTCTGCCAGGCAGAGAGTAAGGCAGGGGCGAGACGGAGATGGGGGGAGAGGAGCTGGTTAGGGGCTGCCGTGCCTTGCACTGGCTCTGCCAGGCAGAGAGTAAGGCAGGGGCGAGACGGAGATGGGGGGAGAGGAGCTGGTTAGGGGCTGCCGTGCCTTGCAGTGGCTCTGCCAGGCAGAGAGTAAGGCAGGGGCGAGACGGAGATGGGGGGAGAGGAGCTGGTTAGGGGCTGCCGTGCCTTACAGTGGCTCTGCCAGGCAGAGAGTAAGGCAGGGGCGAGACGGAGATGGGGGAAGAGGAGCTGGTTAGGGGCTGCCGTGCCTTGCAGTGGCTCTGCCAGGCAGAGAGTAAGGCAGGGGAGAGACGGAGATGGGGGGATGGCCTTGCTACCTTGCTACAGTGATTACACAACGGCAGTTACCTGGTTTGAAGACAGACAGGAACTTGGAGATGGCGTTGCTTCCGTGCACCTGCCGGCGCCTGTCTGGGCGCGATATGCGAAGGTTGAAGGAGTTGATCACCGAGACCCAGCCAGATGTCAAGAGTTCGTGCCTGAAAGCCTGGAGCCTGTCGCGGATGTACCCCCGCCTGTCTAAGTCGAACCGGTACACGTGCCGCAGGTTCCACTTCTGTGCTGTCGTCGTGTAACCCATCGCCAACTCCATGGCGCCCAGGATAATGCACCGCGCCGGCCAAAAATCGACTCTGTTGTTTGGGGAACAGAAAAAGATAATATCCAATGTGTCGTCCATGACAAGCTGTGAGGTAGAGGGGGGGGGGGGGGGGGGGGGGGGGGGGGTGGTGGAGGGAGGAATCGTGGTTAAGCGTAGTGTGGAAAGATTGGCGGGTATGCACGACAACGGGGATGACTATAAAAAGGGTAATGCACAACTAGGAGTATGCAGGACGGAGACAAATAGGGCGGACAGAGGGTACTGCACACTGAAAGAGCATTGTTAATGGGAACAGGATGGACCTCAACTTACAGTTAGACCATGTGGGAGAGGTGGTACCGACGTCATTGCCGTCGCGAGTGTCTGAGAAAACTCATGAAACTCTGGAGCCACGATGTCTTTGCTCAATGGCACCTTCGTCTTGTACGCGACAGCAATAGCAGCTCCCACGGCTTGTTGTGTTGTCAGGTAGCGTGGTGTCTCTGAATCGCTCGAGGGGCGGGTGGAGGAGGAGGGAACTTGGCGCAGAGTCTCAACCTGGTTCTTCAGCTCCAGATTTTCCCGTTGCAGAGATCGAACAAGGGCTGACATGGAATCAAACTCCTCTCTGCTCACTGGAACTCCAGCAGCGCGCGGTGCCAGTATGTCCAGGGCGTCGTCATCAGAGCCATCATCAGGCTCGTCCATGGGTCCTACGTCATCTCCACCTGTTGGGATACTCGGGATGACGGGCGTAGGTGGAATGGCACATGCAATGGCCAGAGGCGTAGCAGGGCTCACAGTCCCTGGACCGGTGGAATGAGGCTGTTGCTCGTTGAGGGCTTGTGGGGACACGTCGTCAGGAAGAGCACCAACGTCGTTTGAGTCGCAACGAGTGAAATCATACTCATCTGCGCGGTGGGTACATGTGTCGGGAATAGAGTGATTGCCAGGGTTCGAAGCCCAGAGTATCTCGCCATGTGTGACGTTCACTGGTGCTGGTGGAGCCCACATGTGCGAGGGATTGGCTGGGGGGAAAGGAGCATAGGGGTGAACAAGGGGGGGAGAGTACTGCCACTGTCCCGGGTATGTAGCATCTGCAGTAGCAGGTGCAACTGGCGTTCGTAGCAGGGAGCCGAATGTGGCGGATGTGGGTGAGTTGTTTGGTGTGCTTATCCACTGCTGCTGCTGCTGCTGCTGCATGTCGTATGGAAGGTTTGCCGCCGCATAAGCACTGGGTGCAGCATTGGCAGGCGGTGGTGCCTGAGCGAGGAGTGCAGCCATGGTCGTCGGCGTAGCGGAAGGCTGTTGCTGCTGCATCTGCGACTGGTGCTGATGCTGCTGCGATTGGTGCTGATGCTGCTGCGACTGGTGCTGATGCTGCTGCGACTGGTGCTGATGCTGCTGCGACTGGTGCTGATACTGCTGCGACTGGTGCTGCTGTTGCTGCAGGGCGAACGCGGCTCTTGGCCCCGCAGATGCCGCCGGCGAAGCATTGGCGGGCGGGATTTGATGCGCGAGGAGCGGAGCTTGGGCAGTAGGGTCCGCGGAAGGCTGCTGCTGCTGCTGCTGCTGCGACTGGTGCTGCTGCAGCTGCGACTGGTGCTGATGCTGCTGCGACTGCTGCTGCTGTTGCTGCGGGGCGAACGCGGCTCTTGCCCCCGCAGATGCCGCCGGCGAAGCATTGGCGGGCGGGATTTGATGCGCGAGGAGCGGAGCTTGGGCAGTAGGGTCCGCGGAAGGCTGTTGCTGCTGCTGCGGCAGCTGCTGTTGCTGCTGCTGCGGCGGCTGCTGTTGCTGCTGCTGCGACTGGTGCTGCTGCTGCTACGACTGCTGCTGCTGTTGCTGCGGGGCGAACGCGGCTCTTGCCCCCGCAGATGCCGCCGGCGAAGTATTGGCGGGCGGGATTTGATGCGCGAGGAGCGGAGCTTGGGCAGTAGGGTCCGCGGAAGGCTGCTGCTGCTGCTGCTGCTGCGGCGGCTGCTGTTGATGCTGCTGCGACTGCTGCTGCTGTTGCTGCGGGACGAACGCGGCGCTTGCCCCCGCAGACGCCGCAGGCGAAGCATTGGCGGGCAGGATTTGATGCGCGAGGAGCGGAGCTTGGGCAGTAGGGTCCGCGGAAGGCTGTTGCTGCTGCATCTGCGGTTGCTGCTGATGCTGCTGCGACTGCTGCTGATGCTGCTGCGTCTGCTGCTGCTGTTGCTGCGGGGCGAACGCGGCTCTTGCCCCCGCAGATGCCGCTGGCGAAGCATTGGCGGGCGGGATTTGATGCGCGAGGAGCGGAGCTTGGGCAGTAGGGTCCGCGGAAGGCTGCTGCTGCTGCTGCTGCGACTGGTGCTGCTGCAGCTGCGACTGGTGCTGATGCTGCTGCGACTGCTGCTGATGTTGCTGCGGGGCGAACGTGGCTCTTGCCCCCGCAGATGCCGCCGGCGAAGCATTGGCGGGCGGGATTTGATGCGTGAGGAGCGGAGGTTGGGCAGTAGGGTCCGCGGAAGGCTGTTGTGTCAGAATCCCAACCACTAGACCATTGGGATAAAAGGGCTTGTTAAGTAGCGGGTCAGAGTGCGCCCATAACCCCCCAGGCGAACGCGCCTGTAACCCCCCTAGGATCAATCGGGCATCCACAGTGCAGATCTACTGACACCCCCCCACACTGGGAGGCCCAGGACTGAGCACAGCGGCAACGGCATACATGTGCATACACCGGGATTCGAACCCGAGATCTTTCCGACACCATGTCAGAATCCCAATCACTAGACCATTGGGATAGAAGGGCTTGTTAAGTAGCGGGTCAGTGCGCCCATAACCCCCCAGGACAACGAGCATGTAACCCTTCCCTAGGATCAATCGGGGATCACCAGTGGACCTCTGACACCCCCCCGCACTGGGATGCCCGAAGTGCACACACTGGGATTCGAACCCAAGACCTTCGCTCTGATAACATGTCAGAATCCCAACCACTAGACCATTGGGATAAAAGGGCTTGTTAAGTAGCGGGTCAGAGTGCGCCCATAACCCCCCAGGCGAACGCGCCTGTAACCCCCCTAGGATCAATCGGGCATCCACAGTGCAGATCTACTGACATGTTGCTGCTGCTGCGGCGGCTGCTGCTGATGCTGTTGCGACTGCTGCTGATGCTGCGGCTGCGACTGGTGCTGCTGTTGCTGCGGAGCGAACGCGGCTCTTGCCCCCGCATATGCCGCCGGCGAAGCATTGGCGGGCGGGATTCGATGCGCGAGGAGCGGAGCTTGGGCAGTAGGGTCCACGGAAGGCTGTTGCTGCTGCTGCGGCGGCTGCTGATGCTGCTGCGACTGCTGCTGCTGTTGCTGCGGGGCGAACGCGGAAGGCTGTTGCTGCTGCATCTGCTGCTGCTGATGCTGCTGCTGCGACTGGTGCTGCTGCTGCTGTTGTTGCTGTTGCCGTTGAGACTGCTGCTGCGTTGGCATGGCGAAGGCTGCTTTTGCTCCCGCAAATGCCGCCGGCGCAGCATTAGACTGCTGCTGCTGCATCTGCTGTTGCTGCGTTTGCTGATGCCGCTGCTGCTGCTTCTGGTGCTGCTGCGTTCGCTGCGTTTGCTGCTTCTTCTGTTGCTTGGCGAGTGCAGCAAGAGCACCCACAGACGCCGCAGGGTTAGCAGTGGCAGTCGCATGTTGCTGAGCGATGAGTGCAGCCTTAGCCTGCGCAGCGGCAGCAGCTTGCTGACGTCGAGTCGAACACCCCGTCGTCGCGGGAGCTGGAGGAGCCGCTTGTCCGAGATTGTGCGACGTCGGTATTATAGGCGCGTGACCGCTAGTGTCGGTTGTGAGTGGCACGTCGTTGCGGGGTGTAGCCTCTTGCATGACATTGTCCAGAGAGCGGTAACCCCTGGAGCCTGCATACGCCCAAATAAAAGTGGAGAGAACATGAGTGCCGTTGTGAATATGGGTTCCAGCCAAGTGAAGTTTGGAAACTCGGTTGATACGGTTAAGAAGAAAACTAACCTTCATGAACCGGCGATTTAGGTCTTTTAGCCGATCCGCGACCACCTCGTCCGCCTCTGTTGCCCCTAGTTCTGATGCCACGACCGCCATTTGTCGCAGTATCTATCGTCAGGCCGTCAGTGACGCTGACGGTCATCGCGTGCTGCTTAACCGTCTGATGGGTCTATCTCGTTTCTTTGAGAAATTATGACAACTATATGACGCACCTATCATGCAAGCAGCTTCGCGAACGAGGGAACAAAGTGGTAGACGGAACTTAGAAGGCTCTATCGACGGAACAATGTGACCTACACAACCAAAAACTGACAAGTCATGGTCCTGACACTGAAGACGCTTCGAACACCAACAGAACGCGTGAGAGAGTTGGCAAGGTACAGAACTAGGGCAAGATAATGTTGTGAATATTGTTTGTCTGTGTGACTAAGACGATGATGACTATGCTGCGGGTGGGTGGGTGAGATTTGGATCCACGGCTTGTGGAGCGCAGGTGACAAAGGAACTTCGTGCGTGAAATCCAAAGATTGGCAAAAGCGTATGCATCTGACGGTCGACATGAAAACTGATTGTGCGCTGCGCACCGCACTCAACGTTCATCTCTGAAAATATGGAAGCCACTGCCCTCGACTGCCTAGAATGTGGAAGCTGTAAAAATGGCAGCCAATGTTCAACCACTCATCACCACTAAGAAATGAATCAGCCCTGTTTGTGAGAGATGAATATGTTTAAAGAAGATAAATATTGAGACAGTTTGGCTAAGTCACCTTTGCCCGTGCTTTGTGATCTGTCTGAAAGCTTGCTTATCGTATGTGATTTGTTAGATGCACGGTCATGTGTTTTGTTTGATGCCCAAAAACTGAACTTCAAATGATTTACCGGCTCACACGCCCAGATGCAACAATAACGTTCATGCACACATATCCTTGCATTCTGTGACCCATAAATATATTTTGTTTACTATCCAGCATTCCCACAAGGTCCTTTACAATGTAGGGTGCTGTTGGTATTTTTGCATGATTCCACTATTTTCGTCACATTTGGCCCAATAGGGGTTGCTCTCAACACTTGCTAGCTCATTCTCTGGGTATCACATACATGCGTTACTTTCAAACGGTTTATTTTTTGGTTTAAAATCTAGGCTGGTGCTATCAACTACTAAGGTCCCAAGCTGTCACCTTATTCTTGATTGGCAGGCATGCCAGACCATATATCTTCCAGGGTTGCTCGTTACCTCCGCAATGTTGCGTTCTTTTGGTCAACAAGTGTATCTAGAGTGATGGGGAAGGCCTGAATTCTTTACCACCACTTACTATCCATGCCATGAGCACCCCATATGAGTTTCAGAGCTATCAGAGAAGGGTAGCATAGTGGCGAGAAGTGAAGCGTCAAGGCATGCGTCGTGAGGGGAAAAACAACACCATTGCACTTGATGTTATGGCATGGATAACCATGCTAGACTGATGGGGATGGCCTGAATTCTTTACCACCACTTACTATCCATGCCATGAGCACCCCGTATTAGTTTCGGAGCTATCAGAGAAGGGTAGCATAGTGGCGAGGAGTGAAACGTCAAGGCATGCGTCATGGGTACAAGAACAGCACCATTGCACTTGATGTTATGGCATGGATAACCGTGCTAGACTGATGGGGAAGGCCTGAATTCTTTACCACCACCTACTATCCATGCCATGAGCACCCCATATGAGTTTCATAGCTATCAGAGAAGGGTAG